CCGCGCTGGAGCTTGATGTAGCCCTTGTCGCCCCAAGCCGCACCCCACGAGCTGCGGAGCTTGAAGTAGTCCTTGCCGTTCTCGGCGCCGTAGCCGACGACAAGCACCGAGTGGTCAAGCGTGCTGCCGGGGCACGACGTCACGACACCGGACGTGTAGTGCTGCCACGCGTCGTTGCCGGCGATGACAGCTGCCGTGACGGGTTGCGTGAGCAGCGCGGCCTCCAATTTGGGCTCGCCGGTCGCCCATGCATGGCCCTCAACAGCAAGCATTTCCTTCTTGCAGGTCGTTTGGCACTCACCGTTCTTGCCATCAGCGCCAGACGTGTACGGGTAGTCCTTGGCGAGGCAGATACCGTTCGTTCCGATCCAGTCCATGGCCGTAAACTCAAGACCGCCGCGGCAGCCTTCGTCGATCAATTCGCGATCGCAGCTCACAACGTCCTGCTCCGACACGTTGAGAAGCGACCCCGTCACAATGCAGTGGGCAGCTTCGACCGACGCCGTCGTCGAAAACACCCACGCCGACGAGCACTTGCCTTGGTCTTTGACCGCGTTCATGCAGCTGGTCGCCGACCAATCGAGGGTGCCGTTGGCACCGCCGACGCCACGGTCTTCAACACGCGGTGCGTCCTGAAGCAGCGCGGCGCCCGGCGCAAACGACCGGCGAAGGTAGGCTTGGAACTCCTTGGGCGAGTAGAGCGAGAAGGGTCCGATGCCGAACGTCGCTGTCGGCTGCTCCTTGGAGACGGCAGCGATCGCGTCCTTGGCCGCCTGGAGACGCACGAGGAGGTCCTCCGTGTTGGTTGCGTCGACGCCCTTGGGCAAGTACGCAGGGCCAAAGGCCTTGTTCCACTGGTTGAGCTCAGTGAGGAGCGCGTCGCGGTCGGCAGCGACGAGGGTGAGGGCGGCCGTGGCGAGGAGAATGCGTTGCATGACAAAGAGGCGAATTGAACAATGAGCTCTGGGAAGTGACTTGGCGGGCGAAGAGGTCAGATCTGATTTTCTGATTTGATCAACCGTGGGAGTCGTGCTCGGGCACGTTTGGACGACGTGGGACTCGTCGTATGTTCCAGTGCGCTCCTTCCAAACGCTCGTTCGTGTCCTCAGGAAGAATGCGGATTTCATCATACTTCAGCAGCATTTGATATATTCCCAGAGTGCGCTTGACCATTAAATAGGGTTTTCAAACGTTGGGGTTATGGTCTCAATTCTATTAGACAAGAATGGCATCCTATCGACGAATTGCAGTATGTTGGAACGCCCCTATTCTAGTGTTGCGGCGCACAAGAGTGCGAAAAAGAGACTGGTGTATGTTATAGCGTTATAGCAAGAAGAAGCTCATGCTCGTTTCAGTGCGTTGGTGTCGTCGTTGCGATCGTCGCATGTGTCTTCAACGTTGTTAGAGAAGCACCTTCGAGCCGTCGGCCGAGAACACCCAACTTCCAATCACGATGTCGAACGCATTTACTCGACAATCCTACCAGATACGATTGCATCGATAGTCCGCCAGCTGCCTCGTGGCAGCGTCAAGCGCATCTCGGGTCTCATCTACGAAGAGACGCGCGGCGTGCTCAAGGTCTTCCTCGAGAACGTCATCAAGGACTTGGTCACATACACGGAGCACGCGGGCCGCAAGACGGTGACGGCCATGGACGCTCAAGAGTCCGGGCACCTTGTACGGTGTTGGCGGTCAAATCTACAGCTATGGCGACGTAACGTCGTCAATTACACTAGTGTTTTCAACACCACCCAATACACAAGAAACGAATTGTGTCAAAGTTTTGTTCGAGGACGCAGTGAGTCGTTTGAGTTCACGCAGAGACTCGCAGAGACGACCGTGGATCCTTGTGCAAGATTGTAATCTGGTCACCACGTCTACGAGACATGAAACTCAGATCGTCTGGTCCGCCTCAGAGCGCACTAGAATGCCGAACTACCGCATATTCCCTCGTGGCGCATTCTATCAAGCACTCCTTTGATACACGGTGGTCGAAAGCCAGCGCCTTTTGGTTGACTGCACTGATAGAGTATCTGCGGCGTGGCCATGCTATCGTCAGTGCAATCACCTTGTACCCACACGTGCTACGGTGGACGTAGGCTCTACTGTGCAGTCCCACGCAAGCCACTTCATCGTCGTCAGTATTCAGTTATTTTCATTTTCCCATGTACCAGCACATCGCGATCACTGCGCTGCTTGCCGTGTCCACGACGGCCCTTGACCTCTCGCCGACAGCGCGGGCATCGCTGACACTCGAACTCGACGCGTGGAACCAAGTGTTTGGCCCCTCGTACTTGCCGCGCGGCGTTGACACTGCCAACACGGACGACCTCCTTGGGAGCTGCAGGCGTCCAAGGCTGCACTGGCAGTGCTACAGGCTACTAAGCCCCACGCAAGATTCGAACTCGGTCGTTTTGCACTCTTCTCGCTCGCCGAGTTTCGAGCCCAGTTCCGCACAACGCCCAAGCCGCAGCACGACAACGTTCCTCGACTCGTGAAGCGCGGTGTCGGCGTCGCAACGGCACCGTGGACTGGTCGACCACACGGTGCATAAACCTGGTGCAAGACCACGGCAAGTGCTCGGCAGCGTGGGTCTTTTCGGCGACTGCGGTCGTCGAAGCCGCCCACTGCATTGCCACTGGGACGCTGCTCGACGTGTCGGAGCAAGACATTGTGAGCTGCGACCGCGACCTCTTTGACGACGGCTGCAACGGCGGCGTCGAGTTTACGGCCATGGATTGGATCTCCAAGCAAGGTATTTACCTCGCCAACGATTACCCGTACACGTCTGGCGTCGATGGTCAGAACGGCGTGTGCCAAATGAGCTGCAAGAAGCAGTCGCTGGCCATCAATAGCTTTGATTTTGCGATTGGTGAGCCGGCGCTCGAAGCTGCGCTGGCAGTGCAGCCGGTCGCCGTCGAAGTCGAGGCCGCCAACTTTGCGTGGATGCTGTACAAGGACGGGATTGTCACCGAGTGCCCCGGGAACGACGTCGACCATGTCGCTGTCACCGTCGGGTACGGTGTCGAGAAGGGCGTCAATTACTTCAAGGTGCGCAACTCGTGGGGCGCCGACTGGGGCGAGGCAGGGCCGACGTTTCGGGCCCTGAAGACGACGCCAGCCCCGACGACAAAACCGGCTTGCTAACGTTAAGCTTAAGCTTCCTGCTCGATACGCCTCGAAAGCTATGGAGCATGCTCCCAAGTACTTTGCCTTTACGTACTTCAAATATGATACAACACTCGCTCCTGGCGAGTAGTACGTTGCAATCACCGAGGCGGGTGGCCCCGCACGGCCTATGTAAATGAACTCGAATATCCCTACACCTAAGCGATCATGCCATCTCGATAGCACTTTAACTGTGCGCTCTACGAAGCCCAGGAAATGAACAGCTAACAACATGGTTGTCGTCTCGTCCAGCGCCGCGTTTCAGCGTTTGCCCACACTTGTTCGACACAACAAGTACCAGTACCAGTTCTCAACTCGGTATTTTGCATTTGACATGAACAGAGGAGGAGGATGTATTTGAGGATTCAACATGAATGTACATCTCAGTGGTGGGCGACGACATCAACATAGAGTGGCTCGCGTCGTCGCATTAGCATGCGGGCTTGGTCGGGACGGGCGCGGTCGTCGGCATCGGCGCGCCCTTCAGCTTGGGGAAAATCGGGAACTCAGCGACGTTGCACATGCCCTTGCCGCCGACGCCGCGCTGGAGCTTGATGTAGCCCTTGTCGCCCCA